TTAGTTAGTTGTAATTCTTGGCTGAATATCTCTAGCAGGTTTTAAAAGCCCTTTAAAATTAAATATGAACACAGTTTGGATTAAATAAAAGTACAGTCAAATTTTATCTCCTGTATAGACTTTACAATAAGATACCATTCATTAACATGACTTCATGTTATTATCTAACATCAACTTACAATTTTACAACATTAATTAATGTTTTTGAATGTTATTTAATACAAACACTTGATCATTCATGTTTGTTCATTGTGCATTAAATAATTTTAACAGATTGAACTTGTGATTTATGTATTAGTACATTTTAAAATTAACCCTAAGAAGAATAATTGCTATAACTATTGTTTATTGATAGGTCATGTTATTTAACAAATGGAATCTTATTGTAAAGTGTTTTTAATACTACAGTTTCCATCTATTTGATATACACTTGACTTAAACTAGATGTAATCCTATCTAAATTTATTATAAAAGATGAGGTTTGTTATTTACTGAAAAGTTATATTTTAGCTGTTGTCAATGATCTAATGTTGCATTTGGTTAGACTCAGCCCATTGCTTTACTTAAGCTGCTTGCATTTTAAGGGCCCGAAACGCTGTTGACATGTAAATAAACGGCCAAAACGCATAAAATGTTTTCTATTTTTAATTGAAGGCAGTGTAAACGTAAATATCATATTTTACTTGACAAACAAAAACAAGACTATGAGAGACATAAGTACAGTATATTTTTAATGCGTCATTATTTTAGATTCTGCACTAAGTCATGTCTGATTTTCAAAATATTTATTTTTATATTTTGTTTTGTTTTTATTTTGGTTTAAGAAAATTTTGGAAAGACATGCTTTTATAGCTAAATGATCACCATTAAGGTGCAGCACTACAACATATGGAACAAATTGTATTTGCCTTGCTTTTGCCTGAATAAAAGAGGGATTTAACATCAGATGAATGTATTGAGTTTAAGTTATGAATGAAAAGAGAGGAACTATTTAAAATGGTGGTTTACTTACACTTACCTGCCAAATGGCTAGGAGGCAGGAAGGCAGTGTGGTGAGGAGACGGTCCATAGGGTGAAGCAGCTGGATGTCCCGATGCTATTGAATATAGCAGGAAATAATCAGTCAAACAGACTGCAGACAAAGTTAGCCAAACCATTTAAATATTCACCAAAACAGCACTAGATGTAGTCTCTCTCTCTATATATATAGAGAGAGACAAGAGAGGTCTTGGGTAAAGATCGGTCTTGTTAGGTTAAATACTTTCTCCTATTCCAGTTTAATGTGCAGAGACAACTAGAAGTCAGCCGGGCTCAACCAATGGTGTGTGTTTGGGGCGGGACTTTCAGTAATAAGCTGTTAGAATAGTTTGCACGGACAATAAAAAGGACAGTGATGTCTTAGATTGAGTGTTCAGGTTGCATTTGAAAGGGTCAACTGTCTATTCAGCCTGAACGATATGTCATTTGTTACTGTGTATCATTAATGAAAAAACCAATTACAAGCTCCTTCATGACACCACGCTGCATAATTACAATCTAAAGGGCAGACATGCTCATGTTGCCCTTCAACAAAGAGCTACCAGTCAATTATATCAGGTAAAAGCATTTATATTCATGCCCGTGGCCCCAGCGTTGAGCCAAGACAACGTTCAAAATAACAACATGCAAATTAGTGAGCAAGGAACATGAGAGAAAGAAAGACATACAAATCCATTTTTATTTTACTGAAACCATGCCAATAAAGAGATTGCGGTATAATTTACAAGATAAGATATAAAAAATCTGTGAGAGCAGTACCTTGATTGGATTATAAATATAGTTGATAAGTGAAATGAAAATGAAATATATTTAAGTAGAATTTCTTCAGGTTTAGAGGTGATTTCAGCATCAGGCTTTCCCAAAACAGCAGGAAAGGGAATTATTTCCAGGAATGGTTGTGTAACCACAACTTTTCATTTAAAACTGGCATCTTTTCAGCTTGAGAACTTAAAGTTAATATAACATGTTGGTTGTTACCCATTTTACAGGACATTCAATGAGAAAAAACATGTAGGGCAGGATTTGATTTTACGCATACATTTTTCTTTTGGAATAACTGAACTATGCACAATATATTCAGGAATGTGTGTTATTATTAAACAGGGTCAAGTTTGATTTCATGTTCACTTTAAGAGTTTTCTCATTCATATTCTGCACATACCTGTTGATGAAAAGAGGGGTCTGGCCAGATCATGAGGGTAGGGGAACCCAGGGAACACGCCTGGAGCTGGAGGACGGCTGAACAGATCAAGTTTTCCATTCATATCCAGTTTATGAGGGTCCATGTGCATCTGCTTTTGTGAGACAAGTCATTTTAATAATATAATATAATATAATATAATATATGACCGGAGTCACTGTACAAAATTTTTGTGTGTAAATGGTCCTTAATGAGGGAAAATTACTGAGTTGGTCTCTAATGCATGAATCATTACAATGCATACTTGTGTATTCTTGTAATTAGGCTACACTGTATTAGAGAAAAGAGACAAGAGAGGCTTCCAAAAAGAACGTACTTTCATCTTCTGCTGATGATGGTAGATCTGCCAGGCGATTTGAACATGCACTGCACACCATTTACCTGGCTTCTAACATGAGCGCAGAAGAAATTTCAAAGCATTAACACAAAGGCGTTGGCATTTAAGGTGGAAAATTTAGGGATTTGAAAGAGAATAAAAAATATGATGCTTACTCTTACTGAAGTTCTAAAAGGATCTGTTATCTGTGTGAAACAGAGAAAAGGACACAGACAGAGAGATATGTTTTCTAACAAAGTTCAGGTTCATGAAATGCTAAAAACATCACAATCCTGATTCCGTTTTAATGGCCAATCTCTTAAGTGGATCTCCAGAGTGAGTGGCTTACCCTTGGGTCCTTCTGAAGGAGAGTGTGTGGAACTGTTCCTGGTCGTGCTGCAACATCAAGAGGGTTTGAAGCCTGGAAAGAAAGTTAAGACCATTTCAGATAAAGCTAATGGAACACAGCATGATACTGAAGTCTGTTTATTTACTATTTTCAATCATGCACTGTTGAGAAATATTTTTGTATATATTATATCCTCCTGACTACCAGGAAAAAACAGTTTTGTGAATTTAGTATTTTGTCATGTCATTACATTGTTTAGAGCATAAGAACAATTTTGAAAAATACAATTTTAGAAAAATTATATTTTATTTATATGTTATGCCAAGTCCTCTGTAGAGGACATCGGGACTTTAAAAAGTCCGGTTTTAAAAAAAATAAAAAGACATGATTATTAATGTGTTTTTGGAGCAACATAGAATGAACAAATAAGTGCGATAATGGGAGTAATAATTAGCAAGATTTTCATAATAATATTTAATATTTAATAGGAATATTGATATATAATTTTTTCTCTATTCATTTGTTGTGTCTCCCCAAAACTCCATAGCTGGTAGTCAGGAGGATAAGCATTTTTGGCTCCTTGGTGTGTTGACTAAAGTCTTTTTAGTACATTTTTTTAAACTGATGATCCTATGAAATCAAAATGGAAATTTTGTGGCTTGATGTCTTGATGTCTACATGCTACTGTAAAACATTCGGCAGAAACATGTATTTAAACTAACTATTAAACAGAACATAATAAGCCATTGATATACTCTGTCCAAACATCTTGTTTCAAAAGGAAACACATCAGGTCTGGAAAAAATTCATGTGATTCATCATGGGTGTAGCCTCAAGTTTAAAACTTCATTTCAGTCCCAAGTTTCATGGATGCCACTTTCATTTATACTCATGAACTTCATACTTGTTGGAAACTTCAGACTTGCTCTTCCTTTGACTGGTAGCTAACACAATAGTGAGAATTATTTGAGAAGTGCAAGGAAAGCCATATAACACACACACTGCAAAGACACACACACCCAGACTAACCACCCTGCTCAAGACCACAGTGCTAAGTCTAAAGTTAACACAAAAGCCTCCAGCAGGTTATTGAGCCTGAGCCTCTTTGCATAATCCATTAGTGGAGAAAATGGCAGTGGTAGATTTCTCTATCTGCCTGCAGTATAAATGCAGCTGTGTGGGATTTGAGGGCACCCTGAATACTAATGGTAAGGTGATGCTGGGCTCTCAATCAGCCACATTTCTGCAGTATACAGGAAATTGAGAATGATTTGACCCCATTCTTTTTTGTTTTTGGACTTTTTTGCCGTTTTATTATTGGCAAATGTGATAGGAAATTACTGGGATAAAGAGAGGGGGGTGGGATTGAGACATGACCCATCCCAGATTTCAATCTATCTGTCAAATGAGCATCCAAGGCTTAGCATACCTAGAGAACTAACCACTAAACCATCGCTGTGACCTTGACCTGTTCTAAGCAACCAAACTCTAAAAATGTAGTTCTGTATAGAGATGCACTGAAATTTAGTTAACTTAAAATATTCATCTTAAACAGCAATATCTAATTTGTGCACACTTGATTCTAGAAAAGCAATATTTACAAATTGTTCGACTGAAATATTGAGAGGTGGCTTACTGCCAAAGAACAGGCTTATCACCTGTGAAAACGACAGCCTGAACAGTATACCATGTTCAATTCCCATATTACTCAAATTTGATTAACTTTATTATTTTTTTTCAGTCCTTTGTTTTGCAGAACTACCAGATCGATCTAGCAAACAATTAATCTGTAGATACTTCCACCATTTTTTTTTAATGTTCACATCTGTGTGAACACGCTAGTTTTATGGGCCATATTTTAAAAATATCTTTTGACTTACTAATCTTGGCCATATTAGAGTGTGCAAGCGGGAAATTTGAAACCCCCCAAACAAACCACAGGTCTCGTTCTTTTTCGGCTCAAGTCAAAACCGTTTTGTCTACTTTCCCACATGATGTGAATGCACAGTTTTGAGGTCTAACCTTTGGCTGGAAGGCTCCTTGCAGTGAACTGAAGGGCCCTGAATGTGGAAGCATTGGAGGCATGCCTGGCATTGTTGGTGGATAGGAGGGAAAGAACTGCAGAGAAAAAAACATCGTAAATGTAAAGTTTACAAAACTCTTTGGTGTCTATCATCTCTTTAAGCTATAACAACTTTTTATCCTGCTTTGAAAACAACATCAAACCAAGCATGCTTGAAAACATGCAAAAAGTTTACAAATATGTCTTAAAAAGTCCAAAAAGTTTACATAATCTGCTTCATCTTCAGTCAAAGCAAGGTTGTGCAGTCAAAACAAGTTGGCACTTACATTTGAATGTCTCAAGAAAGGATTGTCCAGCTTTGGGGCGTATTTCTCGAACTATAGAAAGGAGAGAAAGAGAGAGAGAGAGAGAGTTCAAATTAAAAACATATCAACAAAATCAAAGGCATCTGTGACCAAAAACATGAGATCTTTACTGCAGTGTGCTTACATAGTCAAATAAAAAGCAGATGAAGCTCAGATAAATTACACCCTTTTAATAAAACAATTACACAGTAAAACAGCCGTTCAATGTCACATGAAAGAAAACCACAGCAGCCGCAGCTGGCACAGGCTTCCAGAGTCGACACAGAGTGTGGGAATACACTCACAAAAGAGTCAAACCAGATCGCTAAACAAATGAAAGGCACCCTTCGCTTCCAATTAAATTGACATGAGCCATTTATTACGTGGCAGCATCATTCCATTACAGTTAAGAAAAATATATGGAACAGTAACTCTTTCAAGGCAAGTTCTAGTTTTAATAGAAAAATTTGAGAGTAAAGTTAGCATCGTAACTATAGGATAAACAATTCGAACTGAATTGAAATGGTGAAATGGTTCATGGTCATTTTTAGAAATTCATACAAATGTGATGGAAATAAAATGTCATATATTTAATAATCTTCTATTTTTATCTTTTTTAAATCACTGTAATAAAACAAATGTCTTAAAATGTGTCCATAAACATAAAAAAAAAAAAAAACATTTAAATACTTTTAAAACATTTTTAAAAATTCATAAACTTCAGCAAAAATTCATAAACTTTACTTTTTTTTTTTGCTGCTACATTTTACTATTAAGTTAATAAACCCAGCATCTTTGTCACCTTAACTCCACTGGCTTGCGTTTTTTTTTTTTTTATCACTTAACTGAACACTGCAAATATTCTTTTACATAAACATTCAAATCCTTTACAAACCCCCTCATACATAGTGTTGTTCCTACAGAAGCCTGTCATCTTACGTCATAGGTGATGGTAATAAAAGTGGATAAACTCTGTGTGTTTCTTTGAAAAGCAGTGCTTGAACCGCAGCTCACTTATGGTGCAGACTTTATACTCCAACAGATCAGCAGGCATAAGCTGCTTTTATCCTGCATCGTATGAATGTGTGATGATAATTAGTCTAAATCAAACACATGAGGTTGCCCTGGCTGAGAAAATCGCTGATCTGGCTTCCCTGCGTATTGCACTTCAGTGATCCTTCCGAGAGCAGCACTCCTGCTTTATGGTTAACACTTGCCTAGTAAATACAGCAAAGGTTTATAGTGGCCCATAAAAAACAGTGCTTCAAAATTCACAGCCCCTGTCAGAGATTTATAACAAACAGCTTTGGCAAATCAAGATTCAATATTACATCTGTAAACAATTAAATCTTTATATAAGAAAAGCTAGGAGGGAGGGAAAAAAGAAAACAAGAAAGACATTATATGAAGTGTGTTATGTCAACATGAAACAGAATACGTTACCCACTTTACTTCACTAAACTGATGTATTTTCGAAAGTAGGGAAATATATATTTTTTTGGAATAACAAACCAATGAATTATGCACAATAAGACCAGAAACATGTATAAAGGAAGCAAATTGGGTTATTTCTGGTTTCATGTTGACTAAAAATGACATTTATACTGTTTTTTTAATTTACCCCAGTAAACAACAACACTGCATTCTATGAAAAAGCTCTTAACCCACGCAGAAATGCTTTAGAAACTAAGCATCAGTATATTTGTCAGTAGAAAACATCACACTTAAATCACATGGTATTGAAAGAAATTCAACAATAACTGTTCAGCAAATAAGATTTGTATCTCATAAAACATTTGGGAAAGGTGTGGTGGTGTGTTTGTGATTCTGCACGAAAGATAAGATGCATAACCAACATTTTCATCGCTATTTCAGTCTTTCAGTTTTTGATGACGAAACAGTTCTGTAACCCACAAAAGAATGCAGGCAGCAAACTACAAAACATATGGCATGTTTTAAGTTAGAGTTCAATCTTTGGAGATGGTAATCTATGATTCAAAAATGCTTGACTTTTCATCTAGCAATCTGACATAATATCTTTTGGATTGGTTGACAGCAGCGATAGTATGCAGATAAGACATTCTTGTTCCTGTCTGAATACGTTTCGGAGATCTGAATGCATTTCATATGGCTAGCTAACTTTGAGGAGCTGAATTTATCTGATTACAGGCTGCCAAAGTTTGCTTCTAATAGACGCTTTGCACACGGAAGCAATTATGCTTTATCAAAACAACCTCGTTGATGTCATGACTTTCATCTACGGTGAGGTCATTATGTTTCGACCGCAAGCTTTGAGTGTCACATAGAATGAGTTCTGTCTGTACCTCTGTCACGCCACAAGGCTTTGTCTGCCTCCTGTTTTTCTCAAACAGCCCTCAGCACTCAGAAACATCACCATTCTGCTCATATGAAAGCAATAAAATATCTCTGGCTCACACTATAAAAGCACAATGAGTACGGCATGTCAACATGGCAGCAAAAAGGGTTTTTATTAGAGGAAGAGCTACAATATTTGTGGTTGTCATGGGACAATAGTTTATCTTGTTAGGCTGATGGGTATCAGTTATGTCACCGAGATGGTGCTATAAAACTGTTTCAACCCTGTGGCCTCTGTTTAAGATCTGGCCTGGTTTAAGATAAACCTCAAGGCTCTGTAGTGGGTTGTAAACACTGTTGCTTATTATGCAACAGTTAGTTCTGGTGCTCTATTATCACCACCCTGCATCATATTTGCTGAATGAAATCCAATACTCATTTCTTACTAAGTTTGAGATGCTGATTCCAAAAACAGTAGCATCTCACATTTTCTCACAAAATATGATGTGCATTTTGTGACATTTTTGCTTTTGACAACCATTTGTATGGTGAAGTCTTATCCCTGAAGTCTTGTATTATCAACAGAAAAACTGCCACAAGGACATGATTCCTATCTTCCTCTGAACCAGGTTACAACTTTTTGTTCAATTCTCAGATTTTTACATGTATGAATGATTCTGAAGACATTATTTTATGCCTAATTTTTATGCCAAATTTCAAGGTTCGAATTATGGCCAGTGACAGTGACAAAAATGCAAACCGGATTCAGACGTTTTCTGCTGTTTCTCTGGGTGTTTTACTACATCCAAACAGCTAACTTGTGTTTATGTGAAGTTCTTTGGCATTAAATGGAGTACATGAACATATTTTTCCACCCCTTTGCATTATGAATATCTCTTTTGTCATTAAAACTGAATTTTTTTTAAATCTGACTGTGCATTTAAGCGAATACATATAGATAATTTGAAAAATCATCACTCTTATATTGTTAAAAAAAAGAAAATGCATGTAATGTATTTATATATATATATATATATATATATATAATGTTTTTTTTTTCTTTTTCTTTTTTAACTCAGCATCATCACATTAGGTAACATTAAGCCTTTTTCTGCAATTTTTTTTTTCAAGATGCAGGGCTGTGTTATTATGTGACTGAATGAGCGCCATTTCGGTTCACTGTTTGGATTCATGGGGTTCCAAACAGGCTGCCAGTCTGTGTGTTTCTCTGTTACATGTAAATGTTTTGGCTTTTCTTAGAACTATTTCTGTCAACTGAGACAAAGTAGATGAAATAACTGGCCATATTGTGTCTAAAAGTTACTCATGCTGTTAGTCTGAATATCAGCACAACTGTGATGTGACCATGCTTATATTCAGTACAACAACACGATTGCAAGTGTCATTTGCTGGAAGAATATGATGGTCGTATAGAAGGGGTTTGTTTTTAATAGATCGGACTATTTTGAGGGGAATAGGAGGTAGGAAGGGAGTAAAATCTATCTGTTTTTACTTATCCTCACATTTCTGGCTGGGGTACGCACCATGGGAGGTGCAGTGGGCGGCCCAATGATGGCAGGGAAGGGCGTGAAGGTGTGCTGATGCGTGTGTTGGTGCTGGTGCATATGCTGATGTTGGTGAAACTCGGCCCGGAGGAGCGACACAGGGGCCAACGGTGACCGTGTCGCCCCTGGCGCCGGCCCCCGACCTCGCTCCGAGCTCTGAACCAGGAAGCGGTTGTTCAGCTCCTGCCGCAGAATATCATGCTCTGCAAGAAAGGAGAGTGAAGGGGGAAAAGGAGGGAAAGGAGGGAAAGGGGGGAGAGGGGGAAAGACACGGGAGGGAAAAGAAAAAAAAGGCACGGGCGGCCAGTGAGTTTTCACAACAGCGGTAGGAAGAAGCGAAAGAGGGTAGTCACCTGGCTTTCTCTGTTTCTCCAATTCAAGGTGTGAGGGTTTTCTACGTGAGGACTCATTGGTGGAGGTAAGAGAGTTGCCTGTGACAATGTGCCAATCAGAATCCCCGAATGAGGCTGGCAATACATGATTGGTTGGTTGAAAGATATCAACAGGCTGGTATCTAAAGACAAGAGAGAACCAAGAGTCACCTCGGCAGAAAACACACACACACTTGACCCGACAAACACAAACTCTTCTACTGCCTTAAAGGGACCGTTCACCCCAAAATGAAAATCACCCTCATGTTGTTCCAAACCTGTATGACTTGCTTTCTTCTGTGGAGCAAAAACAAACATCCTGAACACACTGACTTATATTGCATGGATGAAAATAAATAAATACAATAACAGAAGAAGCAAATGCATACAGGTTTGCATACAACAATTTTCATTTTTGGGCGAACTATCCCTTTAAGACTTAAAGAATATCCCTTCTTAAAATTTAAGAAACTCTTTAAGCACAGGCTTGATGCTTTTAAAAGATTAATATTTACTTTTAGTTTAGAGTATAAATTAACATTATGTTTTTAGTGATCAAAAACAGAGAAAATCTGAAGAATGGTTTTGGTACTTTTGCAATGACTTGAGCCATGTGTTTACCAAAGGTTTACATTGTAGAAGTTAGCTGCATGTAAAAACACTAATTTTTTATTAAATTTCTTTTTATTCTTTACTTGCTCCTTTGGTTAAGATCAGCATGTAGCTCTAACATGCCTGGAACTGGCATTTAAAAGCCAATAATAAAAAATAAAAAAAACACTTACCATATAAAGAAAGGCAGAGATGAAGCAGACAGGTATTTTCATCTCAAATTTTGCATTTAGTGTAAATTGTAACAAAATCTCATATAACTGTCAAAGGTCAAATTACAGCCAATAAAACAGAAGTTTACAGCTGAAGTGCCCTTCCGAGGCACAGGATCCAGATATTAGAAATTAACAGTATAGCTGATATCTTTTTTTATTACATGTATCATATACTGTAGAAAAATGGGCCAACTGGATATAAGTCACATATTTCATATGCTGACCTCTGATGCGTGCCCCATTTCGTCTCACTCTTGAAAAATCTTGAAAAGAATGCAATTTAAGAGCTTCAATTTAATGCTGTTGTTACTGAATACTTATATGTCCATAAAGCTGTCTTTAACATGAGTTATTTGTCAACAAACAAAGCATTTTGTGTTTTACATCAAGCAATTTAAAGCATAGTAACTGAAGGAAAGGTCCCTACATTTGTGCGAACCAAATTTGTGTTGATTTAAGACTAGCACTACAATATGCTAAATTAAAACTTAATTAATTGTGTGCTATGACATACCACTCATTTCTTAGGGCACTTACACACTAGAGAAACCTGCGATGGCAAGTTTGAGGGACAAAAATTAGGTAAAAGCTGGGTAAAAACGGGACCCTCCATTCTGTTTGGACAATGGATGTTAATGCCTCTACACCCTTACAAGGCACCATCTTAACTGAAATTAGTGGATTTGCAGCACTCTTTGGTGCAGTGCAAACTCTAGTGTGTACGCACCCTTATACAAATGCAATATTTTTATTAGTGACGTCAAACGATTACTCGCATCCAAAATAAAAGTTTTTGTTTACATAATATGTGTGTGTACTGTGTATATTTATTATGTATATATAAATGCAAAAACATACATGTTTATATTTTAAAAATATTTTCATGTATGTATATATATATATATATATATTTATATTTATTTATAATTTATATTATTTATAAATATAAATATTTTATATATAAAACAAAAATTTTTTCTTAAATATATACATGCACGTTTTTGTATTTATATATACATACTAATTATACACAGTTCACACATATATTATGTAAACAAAAACTTTTATTTTGGATGCGATTAATCGCGATTAATCATACTGCAGAACTGAAAAAACCTATTGTCCAAAATATCTTCAAATCTCATACTAACTATGCCACAAACAGTTTAAATCTCAATGAAGGGGTTCTTACCTGGATAGGGTGGTCCGGCAGGGTGTCCTGGAACCACCAGGCTGTTGGTCGGTAAGGTGGGCGGAGGAGGCAGTGTAGCAGGGGTGGCGAACATGGCAGGATGGCTGGAGAGGTGAGAAGGCGAGTGGAGGGAGTAGTGGGAGGAAGGCAGACCGGCTATGGAGAGAGGAAGAGGAGGAGCAGGAGACGGGAGGCCGCTGAGGGATTGGTTCCTCAGGAGGGAAGGGGTGGGGTTAGGGGGCACAGATTCCTTCTTGATACTGAGAGGGTTCGGGGAGATAGGGAGCGGTCTAGGCGCGGGGGCTGCCGCCGCAGCAGGGGCAGGAGAACCCGTGGGGGGGGACGCAGGAGTCGGATTATGCAAGTGATATATTTGAATTAACTTGTCATATTACAGAACTGAAGAAACCTATTGTCCAAAATATTCTCAAATCTCATACTAACTATGCCAGAAACAGTTTAAATCTCAATGAAGGGGTTCTCACCTGGATAGGGTGGTCCGGCAGGGTGTCCTGGCACCACCAGGCTGTTGGTCGGTAAGGTGGGTGGAGGAGGCAGTGTAGCAGGGTTGGCGAACATGGCCGGATGGCTGGAGAGGTGAGAGGGCGAGTGAAGGGAGTAGTGGGAGGAGGGCAGACCGGCTATGGAGAGAGGAAGAGGAGGAGCAGGAGACGGGAGGCCGCTGAGATGATGAGGGGAGTGAGGTAGGTGGTGTTTGGGAGGAAGAGTGGAAGGGTTGTTGCTGTGATTAGAAAGGAAAGACGGGATATGAGAAACAATATTCATATTATGGCAGTTTATGAACTTTTAGCTGTCAATTTTCAGTTTTTATTACAAATTAAAATGCGTATTTGTTGTAAGACAAACAATATTTAATTATATAAATATAATAAATAAACATTTATTTATAATATTTATAAAAATTTGTGTAAAAAAAAAAAAAAATACTAACCTGATGTTGCTCATTCGTTGGCGTAACTAAAAAGAAAGACACAAACAAAGTTCAAAATCTGTATCTATATTTTATATAAGTCATTTAATAGTTACTGTATTTAATTCAGATGTTAAATGCAGTTTAGATGCTTTAATTGATATAGCTGGGGGCAAAAAGCATAATGAATTTAGAAATAAATCATGCATATTTTCCCAATTGCAAAGGCCAGTTCACAACATTGGATAGTGATTTTTTATTTATTTTTTGCTCAGGTGCATGGAAGCATCTCAAATCAAATGCACATGAAGGGTTGCATGTAACCTATAGCGTGGGATTGGTTTGCCAATCTATCCATTAGTTTGCAGCAGGGTGAACAGAAACCAGCTGCGATACCTTCTTCACCCACTGTGCATAATGCTGGCATACGCCAAGACACCAAACGCATCCACATCTGTCTGACTGTCTTCCTCTCTGTGCCTCATCTCTCTTATCTCCCCTTTATCATTTCATCCCAGGTTTCTTTTCTTTCTGCATTTCTTTCTCTCTCCATGGGTTTTTATGAAGTGTTTAATCAGGTCATTTTCATGCTTGACTATAATCAGATGATCCAATTTTCTGCAAGCAATCCAGTCAGAATGAATAAATCAGAGCTAATTAAAGTTAAATGCTGTTCCCATTCATAGATTTACAGAGCACACAGTCTGCCATGAAATAATTATGTTTCAATTGTGCTGTGAAAAGGGATCATGCACCCTTTATACTGGCCTTTCAGGATATTTCCAGGGATTTCAGTAACACCGCCAGAATCTTTGTACAGAGGAACTGTACTTGTACAGAGGTTTGCTCAGAGGAGTGCAGTGCAAGAAAAAAAAAAAAAAGAGTTTAGCCTCAGCATTTTACAGACTATAGTCATTCAACATGTAAAAGCATAGTAAAATAATCAAGGGTTGATATATACATTTAACAACTCGTGTACATCTTCTCATAAAATTATATTCATCTGTTAATCTACTCTCTAGACATCAGTATTGACAAACCCATTTCCTTTGACAATTGTATGTAACCAAAAACCAAAGACTTAAGGCACCAAAAAGTTGGACAATCTACTACAGTAATGTCCAAATTGATCAACTGCATTTTTTCCCCCGAGGCTAACGTATTTTTTCAATTGTTTTCAATGGGAGCGCCATGTTTTTTAAAACGCCAAGAGCGTGACAAGGCACTGAGCATTAATTTCATGCCGAATGCTGCGTGCTGTTTTTTTGTTATGAAAAATAATGCTTGGAGAAACATTTAATTCGCGACGCGTCTTAATTTCTTAATTTTTGTTCTGAAGATGAACGAAGGTCTTATGGGTTTCGAACGACATGAGGGTGAGAATTTTCATTTTTGAGTGAAGTATCCCTTTAATGCTTTGAAATATAATCACTTGTAGAATTTAAAACGATTTTCCCCCCCATCCATCCATCCATAATAGTATAGAATTTTAATATTGGCCAATTATTGCATATCGTCTTAACATAAAAAAAAAACCTGTATTGGCATATCACCAATCACAAGTCTATTTTATTGGCAACAGTGATAGAAAAGAACACAGAAAGGAAAGATGGAGAGAGGAAGAGAGTAATTTAAGACAATATCTTCCCCAGGCCACTAATTAGCACATTTAATGCAGTCCTCATTCCTAACAGCTTAGTGCAGCCTCAAACAAAGACTTTGAAAGCCTGCAGTACACATACTCTCTCCCAGGCCATTAAAACCTCAGACCGGAGCTCCTAATGGAATATCTGTGCTGTATTAACATACCACTTAATCATTAATGGACACCAATAATTGAGGGATAAAAACGCTAGCTTGAGTTCTTGACATATTTCTCCACATGCAGCCGAATGTGACGCACGTCCTAAATGAGCCCATGCCTACACACAGAACTTGTTCTTACAAACTAAATTGTCCTTTTAAGCATGTAGGTGGTGGAGCTTGTCCTTTTTTTTGCAGCTCTGGGATGGTTTTTGAAGGTTTTCTGGGAACGTCAGTGGTTAGGATTTGCATGGCAGAGCCTTGTACAAGATTAACACAAAATGAGAACTTCAACCCAATTGCTTGGAAAGGTCTAAGCAGATGCATTCACGGATAACCCTGTCTTGCTGCCTTTTCCTACAAAGCACAGAGAAGAAATACGTTGCCCTTCAGTGACGTTGCTGTGGAAACCAGTTTCCGAGGCACGTTTGTGTGGTAAAAGCGGACAGTGGTAGTCAGGCTCCTCAGCTAGCAGTCCGTGGCACTTTAGGCACAATGGGCCCTGCACTCTCTCTTAATGATGATTCTAATGGGCCATAATGGCAGTCAGCAGGCAGGACAAGACATACAAGCTTGGCTTCTTTCTCATTAAAAAAGTGCTCTGTGAATGTCTCAGTTCGTCTGGATGCCTGCTGTACATAACGAAGGGATTTCTTCCCAACCTGGAATGTGGCTGTAATCATTTTGCAGAAAATGTGACACAATGTCATTCGAAATGAGTGCCTGGGCAGCCGGTGTGATGTCACGCTGCTGCCAGTGGCTGTGCGTGTCTTAGACAATCTTAGAAGGTTGTCACCTGTGAAAATCTTGTCAATTTGTGGTTGCGGTAAATTGTTAATCTGTCAACCTCACTGTAGACACATCAGTATACGGCTAAAGCTTTCAATTTTCTCAAAACATTCCAAGCTGTGACTGTTAGCCCTGAAATTCTGCCTTAGGAATCTTTTAATGAGAAGACATTGCCAAATAAACTTGTAACTCCTTTAACTTTTGGTTTTGACAACTGATAGGCCTCAAGGCAGAAATATTTCTCTGAGACCTCATTATCCAACACCAAGGTCAACGATAGATTTACTGTGCCCGCTAACAACAAAACCACACAACACACAAACTTCATTATAAATGGAGTAGGTTTTTACTGCTTACCCATGCAAACATTGCCACCCTGATGCTGTCTTGGTTTGCTGATTGCTAGATGTTCAAAGTAGTTTTAGTGTATTGCTATTACTAGTTTGTCACTTGGTGGTTATGAATTATTTGCTTACTAGCCCAAGTCAAAAGAGCTCACTCCCAAAATCACTCATTCTATGGACTATTTTCACCCATTTTATTGTCCACCAGGCAAAAATCATCGTTCTGATTAATTAAGAAAATTAAGACCACAACTATTTCTAACCAGTGTCACAACACAAATGTCTCAGAAATAAATAAATAAATAAATACATACATAAAAGCATATATTTGCTTTAACACAAGTGGAACAGCAGAATAAAAAATATATATTATAAATAAGATAATAATAACAATAAATCACATTATTGTTATTATTATTATTAAAATAATAAAGCATATATGCTATAACACAAATGGTGCAGCAAATTAAAAAATAATTTTAAAAGTATTATTATTATTATTATTAATAAAATAATAACGCATATGTGCTGTAAAAAATTAATGAAAAATAACTATTATTATTATTATTATTATTAAGTAAAAGGCAGAGGTGGAAGATGAGGAAAATGAAGAGGAAAAAGAAATAGGATTAGGGGTTTGTTCAAATAAGAATAGTAATGCTAAGTAGAACTGGTAACACTTTCAGTAATTTAACAAGTACTACAATTCTTGCCATGCCATTTTATGCCTTACAGTGCTCTCAAGCTTCGAACAGAAAAGCGATTTCAATCTGTAACATAAAACAGGCAACAAAAGAGACCATTAAGACTGAGTGAAATCACAGCAGAGCTATTAGACACACAGACAAGAGCACCCTCAGGAACACCCACAGATTTGTAGAGGTCGAAGGTCGCATTCTGAGGAGGGAGTGACACTCCCTTGGGACGTGTTGGCATCCCTGTTCACCAGATGACACTTCAGTGTACTATTGATCTATACTCTCCCCCTGCTGCTTCTCTCATGGTACAATCCCTCAAGGGACTCTGGCCTCAACACGTGCCTACTGTGGTAGGAACCACCTCCAGTGTCGGTAGGGGTGTGCATACTCATGACGGATGGTTCTAGCAGAGGCAGGGTGACCCCAGCATCGCCCCACAGCTGTCCCACTAAGATATCCTTGACCTCTGACCTCATTTCAGGCTCAGACAGCCGTCTTGAAACATCTGGAGAGCTGCCGTACTATAGCCATTACACACACACTGGCGTGATGAAAGTGTAGACAGATGGCTGTAGCTTCCAGAGAAAATTCTTTTCAGGGCTCTGAAAAAGTGTCTCATTTTATGAGTGACTTTTCTAATCTACTTATGATTGACACTTGTGCAGCTTATAGCAAGTAATTGAATTTAAGACAACTAAATCATCAGCAAATAGTATACAGGTACACAAAATGAGTTGTCCATGACTGTATTTTAATTAAGTATATATTTCACTGGTAATGGGACAGTTCATACTTTGTAGTGTGTAGTATGGTGGTATGAAATTGCAGGGACATAAAGCCACAAAATCATAAAAGTGTCTCTTGCAGCGCATCATTTAGAATTGGATTGACAGCACCTTTCAAATTTCAATTAAATTTCAGAATTTGAATTCAACTTGAATAACAACAAACAAGACTCAATTCTAATTTGAAATTGAACTCTAAAAACCCTCTAAACTCTCTAAAAATATGCCACAATGTACTGTTTTGAAGGAATTTTCCATATTGATTTTTCACAGACGATTCCCTAATATTTAACCAGAAAAGCAAAGTTTGTCAAGACAAACTCTATCTTGGCCTTGTTTGAAAACAAACAAACAAAAAACCCTTGTTTAAAAAGTTCTAAACTTTAAAGCCTTAAGAGAAATGGACAGACTGACAGACAGAAAGACAGATAGAACAATAGTTAGAACGATGGATGGATGGATGGGTTGATAGACAGAGATAGATGGATAGTTAGATACTCTCTTCTGCAGTGCAAGACATTGTGGTTAATATCAGCACATAAAGCATTCACGCATGCATACTTCTAAAGTACAAAGCATCAAGACATCATCAACACGCTATTTTCGACATAACGCTTGAGACACACTA